ATTATTTTAATAAGTGGGAAAAAACTTTAGAACATATTATATGAATTTTCATTGATCAATGAATAGCAAATATTTAAGAGCAAAAGGAAATATTTTTTAAATAATGTTTAAATGTTATTTCAAAAATATTTGTTTCTAATATTTAAATAGCATGAAAAAAAATGTATTATATATAATACATTTTCTTCATGAGAGAAGTAAATTTCTCTGAACAATTTTATTTCTAATTTCTCAATCTAGCCCGAAATTCTGCTACATTACATGTATATACATATTATAATAGTTTCTGTTCGATTTAAATCACTTGCATGTATAGAGTGACCCGCACATATAAAAAAATTAAATGTACTTTGTTACTTGTTACTTGCAAATAATCCTTTCACTCATACAACCATGTATATTGCATATTTGTGTGAAGTAGATTATTGAGTTTTCTCTTCAGGATAAGCTCTAAATTTTGCAAATCGGTCGAAGAAGAAAAACGAAAATATTTTCCAACCACATGAAACGAGCGCCAGAGGTCGTGACGTCACTGCAAATGAGATTGTTTGGTTGCGGCCTTTTTCAGTTTGCTCACGGGCATAGATGTGATGGTATACTTATTAAAACTTTGAATTAATATTAGATAAATAAATAAAATGGTTTGTAGACAGTGTTATGTATAGTAATTAATTTAAAGCAAAAAATTCAAAGTGATTAAGTTCCAGGCGCGTTACTTACTTGAAAATATAACTCAATTTAGCTGATAAAATTCGTCGATTGTTAGTACCGTGGCAACATCGCGGCGAAAGTAGTGCGCAAGCGCATCGTGCAGGACATCAGCTTCTTGAGGCCACCATATTGAAAACTTCATTCAGTTTATTCCGTTTTTTGCGACTTGTATGAACCTCACACGTTTTGGTTGAGTCATACTGACGTATTAATCGTGTGGTATTCCTCGTGTACCTGTACAATCGAACAGTCTTTCAAAAGTTTTATTTTAAAGTTCTAGTGCTCGATCCTACAAAATGCCGAAGAATAAAGGTAAGTCAAAATATTTTTTATATTTAATTTACATTAAGCCATGTCTGACGTTACTTAGGGAAGGTCATAGTGGTTAGCAATTTAGCTGCTACATTTGGAAACAATAGTTTTTCTTTGCTGAATCAGCTTTAGAACTTCGTTTGAAACATATTCTAACTTGCAAAACGTGTTCTGGCTTAGTCTATTGTCTAGCTGTTATATGGCTTTCTGATTTGTTGGGTATTTTGTTGTTGGTGCACTATTTTTTACATTTCCCAGATGGAGACTGCATTTTTCTATATTTATTACTTATACACTTCACTAAAATATAGTTCTATCTAAACTTCCATATCTCATTGCCACTAGTTCTTTATATTTATGCAGTTATAATCCACTCCCAGATCTTTTCACAAGATGAGGTAACATTCTTTGTACCCCATACTCTTCATGTGCCTGGTGTTTTAAACTGCCCCTGCGGAGTTGTTGAGTCATTTTTACTAATGAATCTAAATGCATTAAATGGGTTACTGATTCAATGTCCTAATTACGATACATATGCTTTTCTCGAAACATCTTTGAGCCAAACTTTCCATAATGTTATATGTTAAACAATTCTTTCCAGTTCGAATTTTTCATTCCACACAGCCAATGCATGCTGGACCCTATTTATTGTGTCTTATCTGAACGAGTCAGATTTGGTTTGGTTGTGAATAACATTTTGTGTGAGATGTTCGCACTCAAAATATTCTAAAAGTTTGAGATTGATCATTCAATATCAACTGATTCTTGATCTTGGGAATTGTTTTTTTTTAACTTGATTGGGAAGTTATGGTCCGGACCATCTTGAAAAAAATACCAGCACTTTTAGGTAGCAATGAATAATGAAACTATTTTTATATTATTTTAGGTAAAGGAGGTAAAAATCGCAGGAGAGGAAAGAACGAGAACGAAACGGAGAAGCGTGAGTTAATTTTCAAAGAAGATGGTCAAGAATATGCTCAAGTTACCAAAATGCTGGGCAATGGAAGGCTTGAAGCCATGTGCTTTGATGGTGTAAAACGCTTGTGCCATATCCGAGGAAAGCTGCGAAAGAAGGTAAGTCATTGCAAAAAAATTATAATGCGGATTTTGAAGTCTTAAAATATTTCAAGTCAAATCAGGAAAACCTACAAATATATTTTGTGGTATATTTTTATCGACTACAGATTCAAGTATTTGTACTATAAAAACGCTGGTTTTCTTAGCATGCCGAAATAAAATTGAATGAGAAATGAAATAATGAAATGAACGAAAAATTAATGAAAAATGAAATAAAAATGAAACCTTTAAAGGCGAGCGAATTATTCTAAATATCATACGTTTACTTTTTTAGGTTTGGATAAACCAAGGAGACATTATTCTGATAGGTTTGCGAGATTACCAGGATGCCAAAGCAGATGTTATTCTCAAATATACTCCTGACGAAGCCCGTAATTTGAAAACATATGGCGAATTTCCAGAATCCGTTAAAATTAGTGATTATGTTACCTTCGTTGAGAACGATCTGGATGAAGATATTGAATTTGGAGATGATGTGAGCTCAGGAGATGATGCTGATCCTGTGGACGGTATCTGATCACTTTACCTTTATGATATATTAATAAAACTATGCTAATCTTTAGGTTAGCGAATGAATGTACAATATCGAAATTAGTTTGAATATTATGTGTACATTGTATTATACCTGAATTCGACACTGTACATTAATTGGACAAAACAACTGTTTGATAAATATTTTCTTTTTAAATCAATTTTATTTATTCAGTAAATTCGTCGCACCTAAAAATAGATTTTGATTTAATGGATTCCTGTCTATACCCGCACATTGGCTGTATTAAACATTCTGTAAATTATTTGACAGAATTATTACCGTCAATGTAACGATTTAGAATATTATGTAGGCTTAAATACAATGTCTAATGAAATAATTGTTTCTTTTTTTCCTGTATCATACTGTTTTGTATCATGGTGTACTCCTAAATTTGTTTTTTATATTTTTTTTTGTTAGAAAAATGTAAAAAAATCAAAACGAAAAACTATGTCTTATTTGCGCCTTTATTCAACGCCTGCTGAAACTACAGAATACTTATGGAATCGTATCAGTAATAAATGTACTATTATAAAAATTACATTCAATTATTGGATAAAGTTGACTAACTTTCGGCGAAGTAATACCTTTATGTTTAAGAAAAGACGCAGGTCATTTTGAACAGCAACTTTAATTTATTAAGTTAAAATTAAATAATTTAAACTTATTTAATTTTATGAAAGTGATTTCATAAGAAATTGAAATATTCGTTACATTTTTGTGAATTTTTATTTGGATTACCTTACAGCCGATAAACCTCACTTTGTGAAATTTTAATTAAAGTAAAAAAAACTTTAAAGTTAACTCGTCAGACATCCCTATTTGAACTTCAAATTGCACTGCAAGCTTTCACAAGAAAATGTGAACAAAAGGACACAAGAAAATTCATAGAAAATCACCCAGAAACCCTGCCTGATGTATGTTTGTCCAAATAACTCAAAAATGGAGGCAGATACGAAAAAACTGCAAGCGATAAAAAAATCTTAAATTGAACAACAAATTCAAACATTTGTTCGGTCAAAGTCAGTAGCACACCACAAAAAAGTTGAAGATTTGAAAAAACACTTGAAGAAAAGAATTACAGTGACGTATTCACAAAAAAAAATAGTGTACTTGCGTTTCCTGAGCTGAAGACCAATAACTAAATATATTTGAATATAAATAAGAATTTCGAAATCCGTGTTTAATGTAGCAGTTAAATCATCGATGTTAGGGAATCTGCGTTAAATTTATGTCAGGTTTCATAATAAAGTTCACATTGCAGCGGAATCCTGCTGCTTATTTTTTTGGTCGTCTTTTACTTTAGTTTCGGTCTGATTATAAATTACAATTTATGCTGTTAAAACGTATATTTATCCGGTAACAGTGAAGTGCAATAATTCTGGATCTTTCATAGTCCAAGTTCGAAACTGTTCTTTCAGAATTATCCAATTGTTTTGATAGGATTTACTGAGCCTTTTTGCTTGTTCATATGTCGAATTTTCCATATCCGAGTCGAGGTCTATCTTTAGTTCCAAACATTTATCTCTAAACGTTTTAAATAGCTCCAACTTACAAATTCCTAGTCTGCCCTTTTCGGTTAGGTAATTTTTCTTGGTAACGCCTTGCTTTCTTCCATTTACTGCTACCTCGAAATTCCTGCACGGAACGAAAAACGGTTTAGTGTTTGAACTAACAGATTATTTGTAGGTACTAACTGCTGCTCATTCTGTGAATACCACCAGCAGATACTCGAAGAACATGCCAATCGATTTTCGGTCTTTCTGTACACAAACGATTTGTCCGCTTTGTAAAATTCTAGTTTATGTTTTTGATAAGGGAGTGAAAGTGAAGGAGTGACCCTTTCGAACAGCGCTCTTTCCAATGACTTCTGGCAAAACGGAGATTCTTTTAATATGGTAAATGATGATAAGTATACGGGCTCCGCGAGAAACAGCATTAATAAGGCTCCTTGTATTCCTAAATGGCACCATTTAGCCAACTTGTCACTACACGACACTGAAGCTGTGGGATCGCCTCTACCTGCAGAAATAATTCAGAATTAATTATTTTTTAAATTGAAAATGAAGTGAATTTGGATTTCAAGCCTGCATGTATCAAAACTTGGCGTAGAGCTTTTTCCTGTTACATTCTTCATTATTATATTTGAAAGAAAATTTGAGTAGAACGTTTGAGCCTTAAGGGCCGTATGTCCTAATCTACAGTCGTCTCAAGACAAATTGCTATACAATTTTTTTCGATCTGTTTTTACTTAATATTTTATTATTTACATTTTTTTCCAGATTTGGCTGAGTAGGTACTGACTGAAGAATGTATGTATTTTTTTATAGTGTACATGTATAAATTTAGCTCACCTGGTTTAGTTCTCACCACACCTAACACATGATAAGTAGCGCCGTCTGTTTTGGGGTCCTGCACCATGCTATCCTTCAGGCATTTCGCTCCTGTTCGAAATATATCTTCCAGTTTCCTTTTTTTTGCAGGTATGTTTTCACTAGTGCTATCTTCAATGATAGATCCAGCATCCTCATTTTTGTGATCTTGTGGGAATATAGCGGCATCGCCACAAGGCACTTGTGTAGTAAAAAAGTGAAACTTTACCCCCGGTTTTAAGGAGAACGTCTTGTTTTTGTGCGAATAAAAAATTGCTGAATCCTCAGTAAGGTGACTGTATAAGTATCTTAAGAAAGCTCTTCGGCACATTACTTCTGCATGACTATCATTAACTATAGTGCCTTTGGGACACATTTTTGTCTTTCCAATACATTTGGAACCGGTACCTATTGATACAACTTCGAATGTTGAATTTTGCTCTTTTACAATCGACGATAAAATTGTCCATTCGGTTTCTTTTGGTTTTCCAGTCTTTGGAAGGGATTTGAATTTTTCAACAGATAAGTGGGCAATTTTATTTCCCAGTGATTGTTTCATAGTGTGTATAAATATAGCAATAACGATAAGGACAAAATCTTCTTAGGTAGACTGTTGCCTGAAAGAGAATGGGAATACAAAATAAAATGAGAGACGCAAATAGGGTTCATTCAATAAATGTAATGAATAAAATGAAACGTATCGGCAATAATCTCAAGATTTTTTTTCTAAATATATAAGTATACAGTCCCGTAAGCTCATGATCAAAAGGGTACTGCGATATTCTTTGGAAATATTTTTTTCCGCAGAAACTATGAACGCTACAAGATTTTACAAAGAGCACAAAATTGTCAATACATGATTAATGCATCAACCCAAAAAAATTAGTTGATTTCATCCTCCGACTAAAAAGTTCTGGTAGTTTTTGTACCACGCCTCAAGAATTCACCACTTGGCCAAAACGGCTGAACTCGATTGTTTCATCAAAATATGAGTCTTACATAAGAGCAAATTCACAGCGAGTTTCACTAAAATACATCGTACCATTCTCCCGATATTTCACAAAAGATACATTTTTTAAGTACTTTGACCACCAATAGCAGAGGAGCCAGACATTTTTTTACTTAATAACAGTTAGGTCAGATCGTCTTCTTTTTGGTCCAAAGAATATCGCAGTACCTTTTTGCTCATGAGCTTACGGGACACCCTGTATTATATACTATCAAATTATGTTTTCTACATCAGCAAGTTATGGTTCAGGACAGAACATCTCTTTAGCCGCATTTTAATTCAATTTTTGCTAATGTTTTGAAAACATTTATCGATTCTAAATATTTGAGGTTGTGTGGTCTAGAAGATATCAGCTGATGAATCTTATTTTATCCGAAAAAAAAAGAATCGACGATGCCACTTGCATTATCTACTTTCAGTCTTTATCTATGATCTACTTCTAGTAGTTATGCCAGGTGAAATTCGTGATCTTACATTTCTATTGCCCATTTTCGTAAACTTACCTTAAAGTGACCATACGTCCGTCAAAGAAGTCGGTCCCATAGAACAAGACTTATCACAGACAAGACTGCTAAAGACTAAATCACAGACTACTCACTATAAAAAAGACTCCGAGAAATTTCAAAATAATTTCCAGCAAATTCTTTTCTCCAAGTTTGTCATCAAATTTTTTTTCCGATCACTCTACCACACATTGTTTTTCCAAGATACAGCCGCTTACCATCCTTATTGCGACACCCTGTATATACTATTTTTTAGGCGTGTTAAGGGAATACTGAAAAAAATGCTTATCTAAACTGATCTATTAGCCAAAAACCTTTTGGAAAACAATTAATGATAAACTAAAATTCAAGGAACTTATCAAGGTGTGTTAGGAAGTTGTTGAGAATTTTATTTAAAAAATTAACAACATATTTAATTTCAAGATAATTCGAGGCAAAGAAATAATCGAAAAGTAGTAATTTAGCTCATCGTAGGTTCAATTACTTGCAATTAATTTGTCAATTGTAATTCAAATATTCAATTATTTTGAATCTCAAAAAGTTTCGCTCACGCTGTTGCTCACGCTAAAATAATAGGAGGCAAAAACAGATGCCCAGAGGAACACGTCTGTTGTGGTGCTCATTTGTCATGAAAACCAGATTCCAAAAAATCACTCTTAGTTTTACAGAATCATAATGACGCAACACACTTTTGGACTTGAATTCACCGCAATTTACGTATTTCAATAAGAAAATATATAAACTGATTCTCTAACCGACGTCTTATTTACCCCATATGAACACATATTCGCTACATTTTTCAAACACTGGTCGTAAGATTCAAGAAGTTGTTGAATTAAGTTGGGTATCTGGGATTTTGCGGATTAAAATAAATCAAACGAATACCATGTAGTAATACATTATAATTTATTGGTAAAAATTCTCAAAACAATATTTTATAAAATATCAAAAATATAAACAATAACATTTTAAAATTTTGCCTACATTCTACTTACTAGTATTGCACTTAATAAACTGTATGTTTAATACTTAATATGATTACAAGTTTAAACTATATACATCTAAGGGTCAATATTTTGCATCCTCATTGAAGTAATCAAATGTGTCAATGTGATGTGTACACAAAGTATTGAGCCTGAAAAACTCAATCAATATGGAATACATGAAGAAAGACAGTGAATGATGCTCGGAAAAAAGTATTACAAGCATCAGCTTTCCCAAAATTTAGTTTAATACTTATAGAGTAAGCAACCTTTAGAAGGTCTAATCTCCTAAAATATCTTACTGAAGAGATCTAGATTATAATAGATTAGAGCAATAAATATTTATAAAAATATGTTGATGTGGCATCAACACCTCATAAAAATTTAAAAACTCGCAATAAAATATGACAAAAGATTCAAAAAAAAGGAAAAACTTTGCGATCTATTATTCAACCGTGACGCTTTTGGCCAAGTTACGTGGACAATCCACATTACACCCTCTCCTGACAGCGATATGGAATGATAATAGTTGCATTGGAATTACAGTCAAAATGCCTTGTAGACAGTCCACAGTTTTAGGGACCTCTAGATATTGACTAGCGAAAGACATTGTCTCCATATCACCTTCTTCGCAGACCAAAATTGGCTTTCCGTCGCGGGATTTAACCTGTAATTCATCATTTAACGCAAAACCCGCGCATTAACCAGTGAAAAGTTAGTTTGTAGCAATGTTTACCTGTTGTAAGGCGTTCATGCATTTATTATATACATGATCCCTCATGACGATCATCATTACAGGCATGTTGTTGTCGATAAGCGCAAGTGGTCCGTGCTTTAATTCTCCAGCCATGATTCCTTCACTGTGCATGTAAGTTAATTCTTTCACTTTCTGCAAAAGACAAATGAGAATATTTAAAATTCTTACTTAGTCCATTTAATTGAAGACAAGGTTTGCTTAGAAAGTGGACCGATAAACAAGTAATTCCGATAAATTGCAAGTTGAAGCACTTACTAAGGCACCTTCAAGGCAAGTGGCAAAGTTGAACCCTCTGCCCATAATCAACAAAGATTTCTTTTGATATAAATCCTCGGCTAAAGCCTTAACTCTCTTGTCCAATTGCAACACGATGCGAATTTGCTCTTGTAGATTCATCAAACCATGAATAATCTAAAATCGAAAAAACTGCCCATGAGCGAATCTTTAGATGGCAGGAAAACTCAAGCTACCTCTTCTCTCCTCTTTTTCAAGCTCAACCTGTCTTCGCTCATGACGAGTGCGAACATCACTAAAGAAATGAATTGACTTGTGTATGCTTTGGTTGAGGCAACTCCAATTTCCGGGCCGGCATTGATGTGTACTCCACAGTGGGATTCGCGACAGATGGAACTCCCGACGGTGTTGGTTATTCCAACAATAAGTGCCCCTCGCTGCTTGCAGTAACGGAGAGCCATCAAAGAATCCGCGGTTTCACCTTAAAAAAGTGGATCAAACATTGGGGTTGTTTGGAAAGGCTTTATTGACATTACCAGACTGTGAGATGAAAAAACAGACATCATCTCTGAACACAGGGGTAGTGCGGTCCAAGAAATCACTCGCCAACTCTACCATAACTGGCAGTTCGGTCAACTCTTCTAAAAGTTGGCGAGTTGCAATCGCACTATGGTAAGATGTACCACATCCAATCAACATCAATCTTCTACAGCGTTTTATTTCGGGAATATGTTCTTTAATGCCTCCCAGAGTTACTGTCTAGTAATAGGAAAACACCAGATCGCTTAGCGAGTTTCCATTGCATTGAAAAAGTTTACTTACCTTGGTTTCGAAATTGACACGCCCTCGCATTGTGTTGACCACAGATTCGGGTTGCTCAAAAATTTCTTTTTGCATAAAATACTCGTAGTTTCCTTTCATGATTTGCTGTAGTTCCATTTTCAGAGTGGTGATTTCTCGATGGTTTGGGTCATCAGCTCCTTCTTTCCTCACTCTGTGGATGCTTAGAATTCCATTTCGGACGGCGGCAATATCATCGTCCTAACAAATTAACTTTTTTAATAAATGCCGCTTGCAAATCCGGCTTATATATAAAGATTTGGTGCACACTCGAGATGTAGGAGATAAAAGTTTATGGAAAATATTTCCCGATCAAGATAACGAAAATAATCTCCTAGACATGCTCAAAATTGATGTTGATTTTTATTGATGGTGTCATGAAACTTTTTACCTCAAAGTAAATTACACGGTTGGTATGCTCGATGATAGCCGAAGCGTCCGAGGCGAAGAAATACTCCACTTGCTTGTCCTCCAGAGGTTCGAATTCGGTTGAACCTGTTCTGGGCAAAGTGGGAAATTCGACGCGTCCATGTGGGCGATGATCTAAAAGCAGCAATTACACATTTTCATTAAAAATGCTGATTTTTCTCAGAATGTATTGTCCATCACCCTAGAGTGGATTGAGCGAAAAATATTTACACATATTAAATATAGCGTTTCGTTTTCCAGCCACATATCCATTGGTAAACGTTCCTCAAATTGCTTTTAAAGTTTGAGCCGTTGTAATGTAGAAAAACCAGAAAACCTTAATGTTGCAGTACAGTCTTTCTTAACATAGAGTAACTAATGCCACCACATACCAAAGCAATGTACAAATAATTGTGTCAATCATGTAATACTCACCTCGGTTAAGGAGTTATTTGGAAACAATCTTACGGGTTTTAGTGTCATTCTTCCATTACCGGGATGTATATGTATATAGGGCGGTCCATACTAATTAGGAACTTTAGCGAAATCCACCATAGCTCAAAAGCTACTAATATGAATAAATATACATTTTAAAATTAGTCCTTAGATATTTGAAAGAGTAATTTCAAAATGAAACATTTTAATTACTATTTGTTGCATAATATTAGCAACAACTTTTGAACCATTCAAATATAGAAGTATTCCATAATTGCTCCCATTTTTATGAGCTGCCCTCTATACAGAAGTACGTGTTATGTTGGAAGCATTTAAAAAAAATAATTTCACGTTCATGTATCGCAATGGATATAGACGATTAATAAGAAAATAGCATATAATGTTAATTATTGGATAATCAACAGACCTTAAGAAGCTGTGAAAAAGTAAAAGTAACTACCTGGATCAGTTTCTGCGTCTGCTTGCAAGGAGGTCCCAGGGAAAAATAAAAAGGAAAAAAAAAACAACAAAAGATTAAAATACAACACACAACCAAAAATAATTACTATACTTTCAGTAACTGTATTAACAAACACCTGGTTCTTGATCATTCAATTAAAATACACTAATTGCTAATAACAGTTACCTGAAAGAATAACAAAAAAACAAAAATTAAACTTGAACTGCTCTAATTTTATCGATTACATGCAAAGGAAGTTAATTTGTATGTATCCCAAAAAACCTTTCACTATCTGAGATAAAGCATTTTTACATGTCATCAATAACATGTTGAGTGATGGATGCAGTAAAAATAAATTCCCTTTTGGTGTTTCAAGTTTCTAATGATTCACTATCAACATGTTTTTGATAGATCAGCAGCCAAATAAAAATAAATAAAACAATACAAAAAATTACAAAAAAAATAATACAAGACAGAATTAGTAGTGGAAAGGAATATCTACCTTTAGGTGAAGGTTGAGGTTCGTCTATTTGCCAGAACAGTCCAGAGAAGGAAACAAAGTACCAAAATAACAAATAGTTGGTTAATAAATAAATACAAAAATCAAGTTAAAACATTTAAACAATACACTGGAATTAATAACTAAAATAAAAAATACAAAGCTGTGAAAATTTTCAAATGAGACACTGAAGGGCGATTTTATTTGAAAATTATCACAATGCTTCTTGGTTAAGATGGTTATTTACAATGAACGCTAATGGGCATTATATGAGGTTTTTGAAGAGGCATGGTTTAGATGTAATTCTGACTTAATTTTAAGCCGCAAATAACTAATCGAAGTCGATAAAAGTTCTGCCGCATATTTATACAATGTCAAATTATTGCCCTGAAGCTATTGGAAAATATGAATTATTTATAAAGCAAAATAATCAGAATACATCACCTTGCGATAAGTTAGTTAGGAAATGAAGATTAGTAGATAAAAAATACTCCCCTTAAGTCATTCATGTTATATGTTAAAACTACCATGCATCAACAAAACTAACTGGGTTTCATGCATTTTATATGAAAATAGCCAATTGTGCATACTACGTTCTATTAAGGCCCCACAACAAAAAGCTGGTCTTTCAAAAGAGAATCTAACTCCTTGAAATATAATCTAGCTTATATTTATGTGGATTATTAATAAGGCATTTTCAAGTATTCTTTCATAGTCGATGATATGATGATATTGAATGGATTTCCAAGAATCAATCATTTCAGTATTGAATATAAATCAAATTATAAAAGTACTATTTAAAGTTAATTTTGATTGACAAGGTTTCAAATTTCTGGCACGCGCCTTAATCTAAGTCGAAATATACAATTCTGCATCACTTCTTAAACTTATTTTCGCCTTTCGCCATATATAAAAAAGGAATATATGTTAGTATTTAAATGCCCTTTCCAATTCCTGCCCTGAATATCTACTGTTTTTCTCACAACCACGTTTCAATGATTTTTAGCAGATCACATTACCTCGAAATTCTATTCTATTAAGTGCCCACCTCCCTAAATCAAGTGCAGAGTCTGTAGAAGTGACGGCAAAGAATTAAATGTTCTGAATTTTAGGGGCAACTTCCAGTGTTGTCGTGAATAAGACATACATAGTCATGTCATTGTAATCAATGTAAATTTTAAACATATAAGAGATTATTACCTTTTCCGTATAAAATTGGAATGTGGTCAGTAGCCAAGCGAGTTTTTGTCTTGATTCCCACCAACAAAGGAGAACCACGCCTGGTAGCCACACACTCACCAGGGAAATGTTTGGATTTGAAGCAAAGAGCAAACGCTCCTTCCTATAAGTAAACAAAAACCATTTCTGCCATGAAACATTAATCTTTCTGAGAAGGATCAAATTATGTTAGACACTGTCTATTAGTTGGCCTGCTTACCAGCTGACGAACAACATTTTCAACCAATTCCCTAAATGAGAAATTCGGATGTTGTTGGAAGAAATGGAATACCAGCTTTGCAATAATTTCAGTATCAGTTTCGCTCTCGAATCGGTAACCTTTCTGTTCCAAGAAGTATTTCACTTCCTTGTAGTTGGTGATGATGCCATTGTGAACCACTACGAAAGTATTTGCCGCGTCTGACCTAGAACATCCCAAAAAAACGCTTGGTATTAATAATTGATAATCCAATAAGTCGATGATTACCTGTGCGGGTGAGAGTTCACTTCACTAGGAACTCCATGGGTAGCCCAACGAGTATGGGCAATGCCGCAATGAGTTTCGATACATCCACTTGTGAAAAGTTGCCCACTTACTGAAATAAATTTACATTATAAATTCGGATAAGTTCTAAATACGAAACATTATTAAGTTGGAGATTTTAGTAGCTATTAATTCGGATAATTTAAATTCGGTCGACCTAAATCAAAATCGTAGCGATGGCTCAAAATCGGCCCGACGAACTCGATATAATGATGCATTGTTAAAACACATTTTTATTAATAAAAATTTATAAAATTTTTTTTTTTTTAATTCCGCATCCGAATCGTTATTTTAGTTTATAAGTTTTTCCGATCTTCTAATCGGTAACTGGTGCACATTGTGTGCTTTTCCGATAAAAAAAATACAGTATTTTGATTTTACAGTATTATCAGTAGTTATTTTCCAGAAAAACAGGGATTGTTTTCTGCCGAAAACATGATTCGCACGCCATTTTTCTGGCAGGAAATTTCTTATTTGAATTTTCTCTCCTTTTTAAATTTAATTGTTTTGCCCCGAAAATTGCAGCTCCCATTGATATCAGGAAATTCTGCTCTTTCCATACTATCTAGTCAGTAGATTAGCCAAATTATTACCTACCAAGAAATATCTCCAATTCTGCCAGCAAGCTCCTAATAAGTTTTTATCTTACATATTTTAGATATACAACTGTTTTGCACCAGAAAATTATATCGTATTGTTAGATAGATTTAAGGACTGTCAGAAAAAATCGCTACATATAAAAACCGGTCTAACTCCTCACAAAATGAAAAAATCTAAATTCCTATCATGAGAGGCTCTTCCATAGAAAATTTAAATGATTTTGGCATATTAAACATCGAACTGAACATAAGTTTTAGTAGAGAAATTACATCTGAATCAGAAGTGCGTGGATTAATAATTCGAAGTTTTCATGAAAATCCATCGTGAACCCATCGAAATTTCGCGAAAAACCCACTTTTTTGTTTGATGCGATCTTTTTATAACTAAACAGAACAGTTCCGTAGTAGATCCAATTTATATTTCAAAAATGTTGTTTGCAAAAGCATGGACATTTTCAAATGTTTAAACAACCTGCAAAAATGACCATTCGGTAAAATATTTTAGATACACTTATTTTTTTAATGGCAATTCACATAAACTGAGCTTCTGCGTTAATAATTTATTTGGGTTAGATTGCGTCGCATATAAGATGATATCATATTGAATTTTAATTGCAATTCAGTTCAGTCGAAAGTTTTGTGAGCGCTCTTAAAAGGAGTTTGAAAATAATTAATGCTCAGGCAGGCTCAGGAGAGCCCCCATGTTTCTCCTGTTCGATAAATTAAATAAAATGATGTCCCAATGATGAAAAACCATTGAAACGTATAAAAACAGAAATGTGCAAGAACAAGCACGTTTCCAAGCATCACCGCTCAGATTTCGGACTATTTAATCCACCGGTAAACGCACGCGATATAGAATGAGATATCGTCAAGCACTTTCTAGTATTAAATATCATAAAAACGTAAATAAGGTCACGATTCTAATACCACATAAAAATTAATAAGATCACATACATTTGAAACAACATAATCGTTTAAAAAAACCTATAAGTAATTCGATTAGAAGTATGACTTGCGGTATCAAGCACTCACCTTCCTTGATTGCCTCCTCTAAAAGAGCGACCTTTCCAGTTCTTTTAATGAGCGTGATGTCCTGCTCGTTTACGGAGTCAACAGCTACGCCTAATTAATAATTTTTTTTGTTTTAAGGAAACATACGTGAAATAAATTTCCTAGTCTCTAATAAGTTTAACAAGCCCAAAAATTAAAAAAATCTGAAAATGAATAAAATTAGCAAATGATACATTTTCACTGAAAAAAAGTCCTCACTGAAAAGACATACATGCTTAAGTTTTGGTATTTGGACCTGGTCCGTTTTAAATTTCAAATGGCGTCAGTAATTGAAATTTATCTCATATTACCTAAGTACATTTATTTTGGTATCATCACCAATCTCTGAACAATTCCCAGAGCTATCAGTTTCTAAGAAGCATCAAATTTAAGCAAATTATAAGAAAAGCATACGTACTTAACTGTCTTTCAGAGATTGAAAAAATCATTCAGTTTACAACAAATACTCAAATTTAATAGTAATTTGGACTTTCTAGGTATTGGAAATAATTTCGTCTTTTTACACTTACAAAAAGCGCATAAAAAAGAATGTTTACCTGCAGAGTCATAGCCACGGTATTCTAACCGTTTGAGTCCATTGACCAAGAGGTCCAAGATCTCTGACCTTTTCTTTGGGGTGAGGTAGTTAAGGTATGCAAATATTCCTAAAAAAGAAACAAGCCATGAATGTCCCATTTCTTAGATTACGGCAGAATAAGCTGGTTTGTATGCTTATTTTCATAAAAATACCATTGTAATATTGAGGATTTGTCAAGGAACCGTATATTGCAAAACTAATAAGTTAATAGGTCGTTATCTTAAAATACTGATAATTTACCACCAACGTGTAACAATGTTGTTGTAAAATACAGGAATTTCGTGCGAGTTACTTTATCTGTACTTGGGCTTGGCATCATTGTTAAATGTTTATAAATGAGTAAATAGACTTACTTTTGAATCATTTGGTATTCCAGATTCACAACAGATTTGAAAATCTGATTAATTTTTGATATTTGCGTCTTCAAGGGCAATACTTAAATTTGTCACGATCCACTGCAACTTTAACATTTTAAAATTAGCAGACGTATCTGAATTTATTATGTTTCTAATACATATTTAACGGTCCGGCGTCGCAACTTTTCATAATCACCATCAGCAACAAGAAGTAACTCTAGCGCTTTTAGAATGCCAAGGCCAGCGATTGAATAACATTTCTCAATAGTTCAAATTGTTCTAAAAGCGAAAGTGCTATCCGAAGATATCGGGGCAAGAAGAAGCGCAGCTAATCAAGCGAATCACTGCTCCTCCTTATCAGAATAAGGAGTAAGAAATCCACTTCAGTTCAATTTTCATGCTTATACTTGAAAGGGTGTACTTCTACCAATATAAAATTAACTACTTCTTCCATCGAAGAACTATTATGTCAATCCCGTATGTATTAGAAAGTAAACGAATTTCAGGTAATGAAATTGCAGAATGTCCTTGAAAGACCCACTAGGTTCGGACTGTGAACCTAAATAATTTACGTAAAGAAAATCTGGTTAACCCTGAAAGAACGCACGACAAGGAAATGGTTCAATTAAACCGATACACCCAAAGGTTACTTATTCGCTGACTGCAGATTTAAGTGCACATGGGAGTGTCATAGGAAGCAATTGACTGACTTTAATTTATAATAAATTAAATGTAGTGTAAAGTCTAGTCCATTTTTGGCTACTTGATGATGGCGAATTTGTAGTTAAAATTCACGGAAGGAGTCACTTGCTGGTGTTCTCAAGTTTTTATTAAAAAAAAACAGTGTGTCAATGAAACCATAGAAGTTAAAGGCTTGGCAAGTTTGGCAAAAAATACTTTGCTATCTGAGAAATTAAGTTTTACTATATGTATTTGTTCGTATGAAACCCCAATCATAAAATTAGCCAACGTATTTATCTTTTTAAGATGGATATCGAATTTAGTAAGAATTAACTGATAATATTGAAATGATAATCGCTTATAATGAGATTGACTTGTACTAGGACCTTTATTCCTAATTCCTATCATAAAACTTTCGTTTAGTGGTCACTTTTTGACTGACGAAAAAGGACGGATTTAATAATAAATATTAATAATTGAATTATTTTGGAGTTTCTGCGACAAGACAGTGATCCCAGTTGATTTGAAATTAAAACAGTTAGAAATTAAGTTCTTCTTGTAGAGATTTTCTGTAGTATATGGACATATCACCGCGACAGAAAGTATAATTGCTATACATGAAAGAAGATGCTACTCATCCAGATAGTCCATGTATTCTCGAATTATAAAAAAAATATTCACGTAATTGATTTTTGATTCAAAAAATTCAAGGCTAACCGCTTATTCTTTGCCAAAGTACTATCTGTTTTTTTTCTCGATCGGTACTTCCTTCCTTTGGATTCCTGTCTGCCCGGTTTTCGATTGTGACCTTACGAATCGTAAATTTGATAGTTTCAAGGGCGACGTGCATAATTCGATAATGTGAATTTAAACGAACAAATGTAGAAAGCCTGTTTATAAACAGGCCCAGCAGTTTACTCATTTTCTCAGTCATCAAAAAGTCAAATTTAATTAGTCTTCTGGTTAAAGTGAAAATGCTTTCAGTATCTCGCATTGAATTAAATCTCTAGGCAATTAAAATAGCACATTTTTTATTGATCGAGAACGATATAATAGTGCATCTTAAATTTTTTATATCCACTTTGCAAATAAATGGTCTTTCCCAACATGAACAATGAAATGTTTAACGGTTCTGCAAGACTTGGTTTTCAAGATGTTCATTCTTTTGTTGCCTAACTTTAAAATTTCATCAGAAAATTGATGTATTTTCGGATAATCATTTATTTTTAACACTTGATCAATGAGGAAGTTTGTTTAGATATGTGATATTTGACTGACAGTTTTCTGATTAACACTCTGTTAATGGAAATTTTATAATCAATCTTGTAGATAATCATGGCGAACACTTGCAAGTGCAAAGGTTTTGATTTATGGATTAGTTAAATCAATAAATGTTGCGATTTTAAACGATATTAACATATTATGACTATTTGACGTCTTGAGTGGTTCAAGAGAATGAACAGAATTATAATAAACTCAAAATGAAAAAAAAACTTAAATCGTTAGATGTTGCATCAGATTTTTTCTATGTTTCGTAAAACCCTCGGTGGTTTCTACACCTGAAGCATGATTATAAGATATTTTGATCTGTTCACTTGCAATTAAATATTTAACGTAGGTAACATGCATTATTAATTGTTTTCATCCATTGATAAGCGTGGAGTTACACAGGTAGATATTTTAGGCAAATTGCTATCGAGATTAAAAGGATTTTAGATTTAAAATGTTCCTATTGTTTAATTTCAAGGCATTAATAATAACATAAGCTTTTTTGCGAAAACCTGTTGGAACCATTATTTGCTTGTTGTTGTTTAGTGTTATCACTTTCGAAAGGTAAGTTCGGTTGACAAATGTTTTGCTCCATTTAAGTCACCCTCGCATGCTAAGTAAAGTAGGCCACAAATCAAATTCCATTGAAGCTTGGGACTGATTTGTTTGTTTTTCTCCTTCTAATTTAGCAAACCATATTCAACTTTCACTTTTGCAGACTGTGGGCTTTTTTCATATTTTGCACTTTATGGTTACATGATAAACCAGTCGGTTGCATAATTCTGACTATAAAAATTCAATGTGCCCTGCAATAAGAGTTTTTAACTTAGAGTTGAAGTTTGCATTTCAAAAAACATGATCTCTTCTTGAACTAAGGGGAAATTAACATTGCCAAGTCGACAAAAGTTATCAATAATTGAAACTAGAAATGCTAGGCATTCAGGAACATTTGTTGATTTGTGGAAATGTATTGCTATGTAAAATTTCGATGTGTTTTTGCGAAAAACAACCCTTACACGTGGGATGAAATGCACACAATTAAGGGAAGGTCACTAAAATATTTAACATTTGCTATTATATGGATGATGCCAGCTTACCACACATTGTTTACAAACCGGAGTGCCACACTAAATCACAACAAAACACTAAACAGTTAAATGCAAACTGAAAATATTGTTTAAATTTCGGCCTTTTTATAGAAAACGTCAACCAAACACAACTCAGCCATTTAGCTGTCACTTATAAATGAATGCCAGCGTTTCACAATTTAATACGTTTACCTGATAAATAGATAACGGAATTAATCATTATAATGTTGATTATGTGTAATTTACGGCTGATTAAATTATTTGCGTTGTATTCTGCTTAAAAATTAATTTTTTGTGATACGTATGTCTGGGATTTTCCCATTGACAGGGAATTAAACCAGTATATTCGATATTAGTATGGAAAAATGTTACGACCTGACAACGTCGATCGCTGCAGGCGATTAAGGGCAGCATTATACGGGGGATTTAACAAAACTATTAAATTACCAGGTGTACTTTGAAGATGTATTCATATTTAACTTTATATTTAAGTTAATTTTTTTATTATTTAATTTTAATTTGATCTAATGATCAAAATCATTTGCGCGCAGGGCATTTTGTTTGTTTTTTCCACCGTTGTTTAATATGATTTTTGAAAACTTCAATTATAAACTTAATGCTCGTCGTTGTTGGTCGAAATAATGGTAATTGACTAGGTGGTCGGGCCTTTACGTTTTACTTTAATTTACTAATAACTTTTCTGCATGGGGTTTTCCATAATAACACCAAAATAAATGGCATTAATATTTTCTGTTCCGTTATTTCGTTTGTCAATTAGCGGGACACCACTATTCTCGAAATCTTGGTGATTAAACGAAAAATCCTAGTTTGTACTTACTTGATACAATCCGGATTATATCAAGAGAACAGCATATCGAAGGAGGTAGAAAGAAGCGAATATCAGGAGCCGAAATAGACATTAATCGCAAATAACGTAACGCTAAACATATTATTGTGTCTCGACCAAAATCCCATTTCAAGGAAGTATCAGGTGCCGAAATAGGAATTAATCGCAATCAGCGTAACGCTAAAACTGTTTTGTGTGGCATCTGAAAAACATGAAACTTGCTTCAAGAAGGCCTCAGGACAGTAGCGAGAAGGAATAGAAATATCGTCAGCTAGAATAGGCATTAGTCGAAAATAGCGTTACGTTAACGAGCTGGTCATGATTATAACGGGCAGAAGAACATTTCGGGTAGGCCTGGGTAACTCTGTGAATAATATTTTAAAGTCTTGAAATTTCAGAATATTCCAGTTTTAGCCAAGATATTATTTCTTCTAAGTGCTCAATTTTCTAAAGTTTTACTTAAAAATTAAACAATTTTCTATCAAAAAACGAACCGAATAAGCGAAAGTTTATAACAGATTATTTCGGCACCTCCATTCCTCTGAAGACTGAGAATTTGTTTAAAAATGTGGTTTTTTAGTTTTAACTGCATTTTTTTGCTTTACTTGCTACTCAAAAACGCTCTATTTTGTAGAGTTTCACTTCACAATACTGACGATCTGGAGGACTTTTATACAAAAACTTTTAAAACGAAAATAAATTCCTACCGTTTTTTCCCGAAAACCATCGCAAAACTAAAAGTTTGAAATCGAAAACGCAAAAAAGCATTATTTTCTGGTAATTGTCTTCTTTTTTGTGTTTTCAGCAAAAAATGACAAAATTAATTTTGCTAGAAAATTCGCCTCATTCATCGGTTTGCAGGGAACTTTAGAAAGCCAATTTTAGCTTCGATTTTGGCACAAAAATCAAATAAGTTTATTTATTCAGTTTTTTACCGAAAGTAATTAAGACTATCTTGAAAAAACGACCAGAGCAAAAGTTTTCATAAAATTCTTGGGAAAATTCGCCGCCCTCATCGCGTTAAGGATTTCTAAAGTTCCTTTAAATTTTCAGGTCATTCCAGTTTTAGCAAAGTTTCTATTAAGCAATTTTTTTATGCAAAAATTGCATTATTTATTAGTTTTGCTTAAAATACTAGCAATTTTCAAGTATTTTCTGTCAAAAATTATAAGATACATTTTATTGGAACACTCGCCTCCTTAACCGCTTTGCAAAAATGTTGGAAAAACTTTTTGCAGCTTCGAATTATGAACAAAACCCTAATAATTATTTCTAGGACTTTTTCCAAAAATATTTCCCCGAACTGAAAAAGCTGACATATAATAATTTATTTGGAAAACCCTGGGAAACTGGAGTTTCTTCACTTTTAGGTCAATATTTCCAAACAAAACTGTCTATCGAGAGTTTGATCGAGAGATCGATTTTACAAGAAAAATCGACTTTCATTGGACTTAGTTCTGTTCCTGAAAAAATATAGATTACTTTTTTTTGTTGTTTAAACAAAGTAGTAAAACGTTACTCAGAAAAAATGTCAATAAACCTTTTTTAGATGTGAAAATCCCAGTCTCGGGTCTCGTAAAGCTTTAACTAATTAATTACGACTCATTAACCGATGAGTTATAACTCGATAACTCAATAGCGCAACTCAACACAGTTTTACCCAGGCCTAGTTTCAGGGGATAGATGCGTATCCAAAATAATCAAGAAACAAAAATTAAATAATTTTCATTTTATTAGGCAGATAAATAGTCAATCAATTATTACTAGTCTATATTAACCAAAGTGCGTCATTCGCAGCACGATCGATTTCTTTTTTGTTGCTGGCCTGGTGCGCCAACCCAACGCACGGGCTAGTAACTCAGTTCTGTTGCTGGAAAAACTTTACTTATAAAAAATGAGGTGACCTTGTGTCACTCATAAAAATGTTGATGATTTTTTTTAGTTTGGACAAAGTGGTCAAAGGTTACTTATAAAAAATGTTAATGACCCTTTTTTAGATGTTAAAATTCTAGTCTCAGGTCTTGTAAATCTTTAATAAATGAGTTATAAATGATTAAACGATGAGTTATAACTCATTAACTCAGAGTGCGGCATCAACTCAAAAGCGAAACTCAACATAGTGTTACCCAGGCCTATAATGTGGAGAACTCGGCATCGGAATCTCATCAATTGCTGGCAACATTTACGGGTATCTGCAAAACTGTCACAAATATTACAATGGTTATATCTGTATGTATTAATTTTATTAGGCAAATAAACACAATCAGTTATTGCTAGTACGTAGAGGTACTAGTTCAGAGGTGTTCTGTGGTAGAGATGATGTGAAATACTCGACAACTAATCAAAAAAATATAAAATTGAAGAAACTGTAATTATGGAATTTAACTGTAAATATTAGTAAAAGGCATTCTAACAATTTAGAATTTGTAGATTAATTCAAATTAGAGTCTGAAACAGATGTATGCCTCAAACAGGGTGTTCCTTTGAAAAATGATCTAATAAAAGCGAAACTCACCAATAAAATGTGAATTTCAAATCCATCTCAGCCATCGTTGGCAACATTTACGGGAAAACTGCAACAAATTACAAACTCTTACAAATGTTACAATGGTTATATCCAAATTAATATTGATGATTTATGAACAACAGATTATAGAGTGAGTCCCAGAAGTTCTGTCTAAATTTATCGTGTCAGGTAGCTAATGAAGCATTATCTTCTCAATAAAAATGGACTTTAAAAACAACTTTAACAAGGTGCAAAAACTACTTGTTTATGGAAAATACACAGCGCCTCTCAGAAAAAAGCGTAGATTAAAATTATGTGGTGTGTTTTTTGGAGAAATGCTCGGACCCGATAATTGTTATTTCTAAATGCGATTATTTTTTAAAATATTTAAGAGATAATAAGATCGCCTTTAACATCAATCACTATTCAAGTCGTGTAAATGTATTATTTTTAATATAAAAGTTTTTAAAAAAGTTGACTTTTTTCTACTTACTGCTATTTAACATTTAGAAAATTTGAAATGATACGCAGATCTAAAAAGACGTCTTGGAAAGCTATTGCTCTAACTTCTTGCGTATAAAATATGAAGAACATTTTTTAAATCCGGAAACTTTCGAATAACAAAGTTAAAATTTCTATTTCCTTATTAAAGTTTTACGCTTTTCGACATACACGTTTTGGTTCATAAAAACGACTTGAGTAGTCATTTAATATTTCGAAGCGTTTAACTTTCGGTCAGATTCCTTGCCTAAATCAAAGTTTGTTAAGCAGATCAATAATAATTAGACGTTTTGCCAAGTACATAGATTAATTTTATCCGATGTTTTAATCCACTTCTACACATCAAAAGTGTTATTTATCTAAGGATATGGAGTGTTTTTGGAAATTATTACTAAATTTCTAATGCTTGGAGACTATTTTGCAATTTTAGTCGGAATCGATGCAAGTCGCCAAAGTATGTATGTAGTGGGCAAAAAGTTCATAGTGAATAAATGGAGTGCTCGTAAATGATTCGGTGAAAATGTAGGAGTGATTTTGTATGAAAAATGAATGTCTCAAGTTCATATCGCAGGTTTCCGAAAAAACGAAATAACGGACCTGTAGGTGTCCGTCTGCCAACCGATCTATCCGCGAATATCTTATCAATGTTAGGGAGGGTTTGAAAATAAATTTTAATATTGTTTACAGGAAAATAGACAACTTATGAGATAGTGCGTAAGTAGATCCCCTGGGTTTTATTGTAGAAATTTCTCTTCCGCGAATAAAGTGATTTTTCTCGAAGTAAAATAATCAATAAATCCGAAATCAGTTATTTAAACTAGATTTATTTCCTGTTATTCAACGATTTTAACAGTGTAACCTACTCTTCTAATCATTTGTATTACAAGGAGACCCAATACAGTCGTTAAACACTAAGCAGAATCAAGATCTAAAAACATTAATTTAAAGTGACTCCCTTACAAATAAAATTTACGGGTCTTTCCGATTTTTCATATTTTCAACTGCAATAAAGATAATAAGGGTGGGAAGTTTTCAAGTTGACAGCCTGTATATAGCTTTTGTCGCTTGGGTTTAAGAGGTGAATGTCTATTGAATTCTTATTAATCATACGGAGCATCATTAGAAGGCAATTTGCCAAATTAAATAGCAATCGGTGAACAAGCCAATAAAATATTTAATTAGAATTATTTTAAAAATCTGAATTCAATGCTCTGTAGTTTGGAAAATTGCTATCAAAATTTTTTTTTACTCTTTTTGCTCATTATTTCCGGATATCCTATATATTTCTATTTGAATAAACAGTTTGGTAAATCTGTTTATAAATGCATGTTGATACATAGAGGATTCGCTTCTTATATAACGAATGTGTTACTTACATTTTAACATATGTAACAATATAAAGAATCAAATTCCTATTCAGGTCGTAAATGAAATTCGATATTTTCCAAATGCGCAAAAAGCAATTAATCGGGAAATATTTTCCATATAAGTATGGATATCCATAAGAAAATTCATAAATTTTTAGTGTTTTTGTCGTGCTTATTTATATGTCCTATAAGTAGATAAGACTTCTACCTCTTCTTTACTTAAATGGAACATTCACCATATTATGGCAAATGTTTTTTAAATTGCAAAATATGTATGTGAAAAATTCGATAAAGGACAGTCCATCTTTTTTTAATTGTATAAATTTTATGGAACAATTTTAGCCGGGCGTTTTCGACATTATGGTGGTCATTAGAGCTTCTCAAAAGACAAATAAAAAAATCGAGAACCCAAAACTCAAAGCGTACAACAGCACAACTAAATAAAATAAAGAATTCACTCTCTAGTTACTATTGAGAAGAAAGTAATTAAGCTGCAAGCACAAATTAGCTTCAAAGGGTTTAAATTAAATCAATTCCACATTCTCCCAACGAATTTCTGCTGCCCTAGATGCAATTTTCGGGCTAAATTAATAGTAATTTTGTAAATTATTTTAATCTATATATCGCCCTTATTTCTGGACACTCAATGTCGACGCTTTGTTCCATAAGATTTTATCTAGTCATTGACATCGACGACTATTAAAAAACTGTTTGCATCCTTTCGGGTTTATTAGTTATTTTTTATATATTCTAGACGTGAAGAAAAAACATTTTTTGAAATCTTCCGAATCAACTATATCAACACCTGCTTCTCTACAAGATTCACTAATTAAAACGCTCTACACTATCTTGAACTGAAATTTTCAATTAAACATTTGACAATCTGGAGATTTATAGAGAAGCAGATAATATTAAATCGGCTTTTGTAAAGACTCAGGCGAATAATTTAAACTTTAATTTTTGAACACCCCTAAAGTTTCTCTGGACATTTTCTTTGGCCTCTAGACTGGTCCTTCCTACGCTTACTTCTCTGGACTGAATTAACCATCTAGGAGTTATGTTCTTCTGTTGGAACTGGAGTTATATTCTTTTGTTGTAACCCAGTTCAGTCAGCCTTCACACTTATAAAGTTTCTTTACTATTTGAGAGTTTCATAGTTTTAAATTTTTCAGTGTAAATGACAGAAAGTCAAAAGCGTGCTTTAGGACACTAATAATTTTTCTTAGAACACTTCTATTTTCGTTGCTTTTAATGCAGTTCAAATCCGCCAAAACATGTTTCTCTTGTTTATTTTCCTGGTCATTTATGATGTTCTTTAACCGATTAAAAAATAATTGTGATAAGAAAAAAATTAATGGAAAAACCTTACTTGTTCTCCTGGCTTTCACGATAAGTTCCCTACGAGTCTTTCGACAATATGAAGACTTCGGCAGTTCTAATCGATTTTACAACTTCAACTTTTTAATCGAACATTCATTATGAACTTGACTATGATTAAATTTTTACGAGATTGATTTCAAACCTATTGAGACAGTTACAACGAAACTAAACAAAGTTTAAATAAACATGATTTCAACTCAAACGTAGGTAAAAGAAGGATTGAAAACATCTTGCTCAATGGACCTGCATGAACGATTTACACACTATTTTTAAATGTTTCTAGTTAACATTTTTTTGAGTGTATATGTAATATATGAAGTTGGCTGAATGAAAAAAATAACAAAACAAACTTTTTTTATCGTACTTTTGGTAGTAGAATTTTCAGTTAAATATATGCAACGTAATTTCAGATTACTCAGTATAGGGTTTTTTCTTTAGTTTAACGTCAACATGCTTTAGTAATAACAAATGAAGATCTATTATAATTTTGTGTTTCACTATCGTATGACATGTACCTACGTACATATACGTATGTAAAAATCAATTGAAACGATACCAAAATGAGATTAGAAATTTGGAAATATGGACATTTTTAATTAGACTCTATGAAAAGCATCTTTATTTATAAAATTTGGTACCGGCTTTGAACAGAGCGTCATCAAACCGATAAATATTTCTACATTTAATTTTCAGTGTACTTTTTGGTTCAAAAGTAATAAAACACATTATGTAAGGTATAAGTTGCATAAGTTTAAAACCCCTCTGTTAAGTTTTTCGGAACTTCCTCCAACAGTCAAGTTAACTTTGATTTCTTGCGTAATAATTGGCTTCGTACGTATGCATCCAAGTCCCATTGACGTCACGTTTTCTCCGAATGGGGAAAATAGTGCCCTTTAATTAAGACCAATGCTGCAAATTTGAAACTTTTGCAGAGCGTCAGCTCGTTAATCGTTTCCATGGAAACTCACCGTCTCTATAGCGTGCGTCCTAGAACGGCAACGAATAGAACGAAATTGGCCTAAAGAGCATAGAAGGCGTAGAAAAAAAACCGTTGACAAATATCAATTACGGACGAAAAAAACAGACGCACAATCAGGTTATCGATTTGGTAAAAAGGAGAGCTCTTGCCGAATTTATTTGATTATGTGTGAATTATCTCCACTGAACTTGTAAACAATACAAAAATAAACATTGCAGACTCTGATCGCATTTCGTTGTTGTCATGTTGAAGCTCAAGTTTTTTAGTAATTGATGCCAATCTTTAAAAAAATTATACTTTTTGTGTTGAGTGCTTGGTTGGCATCACAACGTATTAATTGTTATTAAAATCAATTTATACCAACAGTTTAGTGGGTTTCCGGAATATTAACTAAGGTATAAATTGTGTAAGTTATATTTAAAAAATAACTTTATAATTAATAATTTAAATTAATTGATTATTAATTGATAATTGATAATTGTTCCGAAAGTTGACATGATTCCAACAAACATTGTACGACATTTTAGATTCACCCCTCAATGTTGAATGACGTGATGATTGATGAAAATCATCCAACGGTTAAGATACGAATCTACTTAAAATGCAAAAGTATCTAAAAAACTCAAATACTTCTTACACTCCTCTGAACATTAAGTTCAAGTAATGTAGGCCCAAATTATATAACAATATATAACAACTTTTTAAAATTTTTAAATAAAATAAATTTTAATTTGAAAACGGTTGATTTCACAATTTAAAGTGTAAATGCAAATTTGTAACTTTGAAAATTTTCGATCTAATGACATTAATATACAGGTACTTTAATTTGAAAGACAAAAGTTATATAGCGTGTAAAAGTTTTACATTTAAGTCCACATTGTTAACACCCTGTACAATATTGTACATCGTATTGATATTTTGGTTTAATAGAATTCTTAACGGATCTGGGGTGTTTGGAAAGACGTATTTTTTGGTATTTTTAACTGCTTTTTTTTGCTTCGACAATGCATTTTTAGATACCATGTTTTTATGCAAAATTTTACTAAAATGGCGAAAATCGCTCAACGTCGCAAATAAGAAAAAAACAATTTATGCTGCATATGCAGCGTTTCAAGCTGGATTCCATCAGCTAATGAAAAATGGGTAGTTCTATTTAAAAAATACACTTTGATCTTGCCTCGCTTTTCTGAGACACACTGTATCATATAAGATATTTTTAAAATGTGCGTACTTTGTGCGTCAACAGCTTTTATATGAAACTATTTTTCTAAAGATCAACATCAACGGAAATAATGGACTCTCTGGCACTAAAAAACCACCCTATAGGTGTAGATGAACATAAATGAGTGTCTGCTTGTAAATATTCTGTTTCATTCTCGTAAGGTTTCAAGATTAGATTTCACTACAAGGTGTTCTGTAGATTTGGCAGCTTTTTCCATGTTTATTTCTGGTTCATTTTCCGTGGTTGTTACTTAGAAGCACTGCAGATGTGGTTTCGAATTCAAACCACAAAGAGCGGCTTTTTCATGGCTCTCAAATTTTCCAAATAATCAATTACTTGGTTTTTGAGTTTTAGCATTACTTTCCGCAAATCGTTTTGTGACATTATTCAGAACGGCGTGGCTTCGACTGGTCTGTTTATTTATCAGCGCTTTATTATTGCACATTTTTCCATTGTTTGGGTGAAAAAGTCTTGGAATTTCATTGTGATTGGGCAAAGTTTCCGAATGAAAAGAATAACATTGTTTGGATGTTTTCCAGCAAGGGATCCATGTTATCACCAAAAGTCGATCAGTAAATTTAATCAAGTTATCTGTTTTAACGTTCTTAAAAAAATTGAATCAAACATTTGAATGAAATCAGTCCTCTGTAAGAAAGAGTAGGTACGCATTACATGTTAAGAATAAAGTCGTCAAAAATTGTGTTCTTTCAAAGATGTTACATTTGAAGCAAAATACCTAAATTAGATCTTTTGTAAGTATGTGCGCACCTCATCCCATATACAGAGTGCAAAATTCTCACACAGGGAACCACCGTTTTCCATATAGGTATGGCAAACTACTCGTATAATCAGGAGACGCATGAAAGTTTGACAGTATATAGGAAGTTAGGGGCGACCTAAAATATTTTTAAGATTGCCGCACTTTCGGTAATACTGGAAGTAGGAGCCAACTTTCTTATTTAATATCGAACACCTTGTATATTATAATTTTTTCAATTTTACTCTAAACTTCAAGTATATTTCCTATGTAATATCCTATGCCGAAGTCTAACCATTTTTGATCTATTTCAAATTTCATGTCAAAAATTTCAGTTGCAGGCACTAGAGTAACTATAAATTTTTTCGATAAAGAAAGTGTTAGTTAATTATTTGAGTTGCATTCTTTGTTGACAAATTATTGCTTTATTAGAATTTTGATAACATCTTGATTCTCGTAACTACACTGATGGACAAAATTAACACATCACCAGAACTTCTCATTATTTCTTGCAATTTTTTACAAACTTCTTTTTGGGAATTTCGTCTCAAAAATTTTTGTCTTTAAAAAAGACAGAATTTCCTCACGTCTTTTATTACAGATTGATAAATAGTGCTCCTATTTCGCAATAAAAACGAA